GGGGGGGGGGGGGGGGGGGCTGAGAGTTGAATCTGTGGGGGCGGGAGGGGGGCTTGGTTTACAGTTTCCAGAGCGACCTACGGGTCCTGACATGTCGCCCATGTTTACCTTAAGCTGCCTATTTTAGTCGTGATTTTAAATCAGGCAGTATTGAGTGTTAGCCTCCCATGCAGTAACTATGGCCGCGGCTCCGCAAACGCGACTCCAGAAAGATGGGTGAGAGTGACGGTCCCGTTACAGGCGGGGGTGTGACACCGCGACCGCTGAGTGTGCAGGGCTCATACCTGCTGGTGTGTTCTGGGAAGCATCAGGGAAAATGGCCGCCTAGTGCCCCTACCCGTCAGTGTCGCCTCAGGGGCCGGCGCGGGCCCTCTCGGGGTCGCCTCAGGGGCCGGCGCGGGCCCTCTCGGGGTCGCCTCAGGGAACGGCGCGGGCCCTCTCGGGGTCGTCTGAGGGGCCGACGCGGGTCCTCTCGGGGTCGTCTGAGGGGCCGACGCGGGCCCTCTCGGGGTCGCCTGAGGGGCCGACGCGGGCCCTCTCGGGGTCGTCTGAGGGGCCGACGCGGGCCCTCTCGGGGTCGCCTTGCTTTCCTTCTAGTGCATTCTATCATCGTGTTTCTCCTCCCCCTGCTATTCAGCTTGAATAGTGGGTGTGATTAATTAATAACGCACCCCCAGTACGAAGAGAAGGGCCGTTTTGTTCTGGGGCCGCGAGCGTGTCCCGCGATGGCAGTGCGCCTCCCTGCCCTCTGTGGACTGAACGGCCGAGATGGTAGACGGAGCAGAGTGAGATGGAGGAAGCGGGGAAGCTTTGCCCCCCCCCTCCCCCCCCCGGGCAGAGATGGTGGACAGTGTGTCACCAGTCATGTCAGTGTTCACTTGGGGAAACATAGCATTTAAGGATGCCGACTTATACAGAAGGTTGTGGGTTCATATCCTGCTTCCTAGCAATGCTTGTTGTTACTTACTGTGATCTGCTTTAGTTGAGTAACCAACAGTAAATGCAGGCCAGATGTGTCCGTTTGCAGCAGCCAAAAGGGGGATTTTTGGAGGTTTCTTGAGTCAGAGAAGCAAGACCGAGTCAATTTGATGTCAGTTTTGATTTTTTCTTATCTGTCCGTGGTGACTTACAGATGAAGGGAAACAAGATGTTAGTGACGGAGCTCCTGGTTTCGTGTTTAACGTTCTACATTTTCTTTCATTTGCTTTTAACATTTTCCGTTTAACAAGACCGGAATATTGTCCAGTGCAGACAATAGCTTTTTATCTCTGTGTTAATTGCCATTTCCTCCATGAAGATCTAATTGTGTTAATTACTGTCTTTCCCTTTATCCAGCTCAAATGTAGGATCACGATTTTAAGAGCAGTTTCCCTGATATTTTGTGTCATGGTGGGATTTAGCATAGCTGGGCAGTGGATTCCAGTGGAGTTCTTCCTCCGTGTTCCAGTGGAGGAGGGGTTGGCAGGGGGGGGGGGGGGGGGGGGGGGGGGGGGGGGGGGGGGGGGGGGGGGGTCTCTGATGGATCCAATATTGATGTTTTCTCACATCCACATGGATATCAAATTTATCTAACAATAGACATCGTTTGGATGTATAAGTCAGGCCTTCAGGGGGGGCCTCCTTCTTAACTGGCTCTTCTCGATGGACCAGATGGCCTTGGAAGGTTCCAGACAGGAGCTGTGTCGTGGAACTCCCCACCGCCTTGCAATTTGAATGATACCCTTCAGCTGCAGCTAGGGGGCGGTAGCTGTTCTGTAGCCCCTGTCCTCAGTGATCACACAGCTTTGCTTTGGGTTGCGTTTGCTTTATACTGATGCCGCTCTTGCCTGGGGGGCCCTCACAGGTCTGACCTCGGCTCACGTTAGAAGCTGGACTGGCTGATATTTATCCAGATGTTTGGATAAAGCAGCTGTAACTGTTTATTTTCTGCAAGATGCACCTTTGAGAAATGACCCGTATGTTTGGCTTCATCCGGAGCTGTCCCGTCGCACACAGACTGGCGTGTGGGTGGCGTGTGGCCCCGTGCAGCCCGTGTTGTCACGGCTGCTCTGATAATGCGTCGTTGCTGGGCGTCGGTCCGGCACCTCCGCACAGTGACCTGCAGACCTTAGGCCTTAACCTGTGATCCCTTTGTAACTCCCCGCATACCCAGGCTTGCTGACTCTGCCACCTCCTCGCGGTGGAGCCCACTAGAATTTACGGCACGGAAAATACTAGAAGTTTCCGTTCGGAGCCGTTGGTTTGTCGGTGATTTTCACGGCGCCCCTCCGGCAGCGGCTGTTGGTACCGCTGTGGAGGTGACATTTGCTGTGCCTTTTTATTTAAGGCCGTATTTTATCTTGGACGTTTATTCTGGGGGGAGGTTTAATGGAAAATAACAGCAGAATTAATCAGCTAAAAGCCTGTTGATTTACGCGGCGCTCTCCGTGTGCCGGGGAACACCGGTCTGGAAGCTGCTCTTTCCGGGAAGTTTTCCAGGACAATGCAGGACCTTTGTGAGGAAGGAGAGTTCCTAGATGAGCCTGAGTACATGTGCCGTGTGATCTGTGATCAGAAGGTGGCTGGTTCAAATCCCAGCGTCGGCTTAGTGATTGTCTGACTGACTTAGTGATTGTCTGACTGACTTAGTGATTGTCTGACTGACTTAGTGATTGTCTGACTGACTTGTGTCTTTGCCGTGTACGTTAGCGATGTGTAAGTGCATCGGACATCAGTATTGCTCTGCCTGCGCAGGTGCCCCCCCCCCCCATAGGCGTGTGTGGTGTAGGTATCAGGTCGAGGAAACTGATGACATTATCACACCTTCCACTGGGTCCCAGGGATCGGGTTGCAGTTATTCTTAGGATCAGTACTAAATAAACCCCGTGGGAAGCGTCCCTCATGCTGCTTATTTAGGAGGAGGTGAGGGAGGAGGTGCAGGAGGAGGCCCAGGCACCGTGTGACGGACTGAGCCGCTCTCTGCTTGTGGCCAGTAGCTGCTGCTGGGTGTCGGGCTGCCCTGCCCATGTCCGGCTGCGGGGGGGGGGGGGGGGCTCGATGCAGGACCGCTTACAGTCAGCTCTGTTGTCACTTCCTGTCCTTACCAAAGCTGGGCGGACGTTAAGCGAGAGGCTGCAGGCTGGGGGGGGGGGGGGGGGGGAGGGCGTCTTTCACACCTTTTAGCTGCACCAGCTCAGCAGATCTGTGGGTGAATAAATCACTCCAGCGGATAGTGTCCATAGCAGGGGACACAGACTGTTCAAAATGAGTAAATGTTGTGTGTTTTCTACTGAGAGAAATGGAACCAGAAACCCAGGTCTGGGGGTGTGACCGCACCATGTCACTCATGAACTTTCTCCTAATCCCATTGGCTGCCTTAGTGATTCCTGTGGGGTTAATCTGTGCAGTGATTGGCCATGTAAGCCCCGCCCACCCTTTGTAGGTTTCTTCTAATACCACAATTCTCCAGCTCATACTAAACCTGCATGTATTTTTTGAATGACGCTTAGTGGGAAAGACGAACGAGTTACAGATGGCTGCGGTGCTTCCCTTTCAGTCGATGGGCTGGAGAAACCTTCCCTGGCCAACTCGGACGTGGTGGTCGGGGGCACGGGGGCACAGACCCCACCGCTGAAGCAGAAGGGCAAACTCTCATCGCTCGGCAAGATCTTCAAGCCGTGGAAATGGCGCAAGAAGAAGACCAGCGAGAAGTTTCAGGACCTCTCCAAAGGTTAGTGTGTGTTTGATAGAGAACGTGGCCTTCATGGTGATTATGCGTATTTTTAATATACTGCCCCAGCTGTGAGTAAGCGGGTGTGACCTCAGTCTGTGCTCCTGTGCTGCTAGTTGCCCGTGTGACCTCAGTCTGTGCCCCTGTGCTGCTAGGTGCCCGTGTGACCTCAGTCTGTACCCCTGTGCTGCCCGTGTGACCTCAGTCTGCGCCCCTGTGCTGCTAGTTGCCCGTGTGACCTCAGTCTGTGCCCCTGTGCTGCCCGTGTGACCTCAGTCTGCGCCCCTGTGCTGCTAGTTGCCCGTGTGACCTCAGTCCGTGCCCCTGTGCTGCTAGGTGCCCGTGTGACCTCAGTCTGTGCCCCTGTGCTGCTAGTTGCCCGTGTGACCTCGGTCTGCACCCCTGTGCTGCCCGTGTGGCATCAGTCTGTGCCCCTGTGCTGCTAGGAGCCTCTCCACACAGATGTACGTGCGTTCGTGCCCCTGTGCTGCCCGTGTGACCTCAGTCTGCGCCCCTGTGCTGCTAGTTGCCCGTGTGACCTCAGTCTGCACCCCTGTGCTGCCCGTGTGGCATCAGTCTGTGCCCCTGTGCTGCTAGGTGCCTCTCCACACAGGTGTACGTGCGTTCGTGCCCTTCTTCCGGGGTGTGAGTGTGTCTTCCTGGTTTTGGTGATGATACTAGCGGCAAACCTAATGCTCTATGGTGGTTTAATCTGCGCCGTAAAGACCAGCTCCGTCTCGACCCGTCAAGCCGGCTCCAGCTCAGAGACGGCTCCATAACCTCCCTGTAATTTGAATTGTCATGTGATCTTCACGGCCTTCCGTCGGCCATTATGGATTTCTGAGAAGAGCTGGTGGTGATGCTCATCACGCAGTTCCCGCGGTCCTGTGCCAGAGGCATCACTTATAAACACCATCTATCAACGGCCGACTAGTAGAGGGTGTCGTCTAGCGGAGGTTTTGCACTTTTTCGGATGGAAAATGCTTCATTTTGCCACTTCTTAGCTTGACGGTTCACACTGATGGTGCGTTTCTGTGCCCCGATCAGCCATTGCTAATGCAGACTGGCCCAGCCACATATAGGGGGCGTGGTCATTAAGGGTTCAGGAACGTGTTCGGCTGAGTCACAGGGCTGAAGATATAAAGACCATCTCTTATACAACAACTACAACGATAATAACAATGATGATGATCATTCTTGCAGTGGGCTGTCTGGGCCGAATGGCGGTACGCGAACAGCCCTCGGGTGAACCCGCCGTAGGCACACGCTGCCAGGTCGTTAATGAGCTGCTTTTGTAAGGCGGCCAGCGATGGGCTGCCACATAAAGCCGTCTTTATGCAGGCCTGAGCTGGAGCCCAGCATCCGATAGCCAGACCTGGCTGCCTGAGCACAGGCACATGCCAGAGGCCCCCGAGAGCCGCTGCTAGGGGCGGGCTCAGAGCGCATCACGTCCGGCTCTCATTGGCTGCCTTTATAAAGGGGGCGTGGCCGCACCCTACCAGTGGCCGTATGGGAGTCCAACTCCTGACACATTTACGCTTTCACAGCAGTGCCTCCCCACAGTAATTATTAAATATATTTAAACATTAATCCCAAAAGTCCATCCAGGTGGACGGATGGATTAACCCATAATATCGCATTCCTGAGAGAAACGCGTTTGTTTATTTCAAATTCACTTTATTTTTGATCTGGGGGGGGTTGATGGTCCAGGACCAGAGCTGGGTTTGGCCCATAATCAGATTCCGTTCTGATATGTAAGTTCAGACGTGACTCGGATCCGGACGTGGCGACACTCATGCAATGTCGTGATGAGGGTGCCAGGCTGGTCAGGGGGGTGTCGGGGGGGTGGGGGGTGGGGTGGGGGTGTAACTCCAGGGACCCCAATAATACGGGAATTGAGGTTTTCAGAAGGGCTTCCTTCATCCACACTGCTGGCTGCGGAGCTTCTGTAGGCATCTGAGGGCTGCGAATGACATGCCGCTTTGGTGACGGGTCTCCATGACAACACAGAGTGCCTTAACAATCCGGCGGCAGGTCTGGTGATTCACAGCATGTGACTGACAGGCAGCTTCAGCTTGTGGGATTGTGAAGTTCCCAGCATGCCGTGCGCCGACTCCATCATTTATGGTGTTTCTGTTAATATTCTTCTTAGGCGTGTCCATCTGAGCCCTTTTGGCAGGCTGAGGTCGAGGCCCCCCCCCCCCACCCTTTGGCGCTGGTGCTGCCCATGATGGTCACGGTGACCTTGTGTCATGTTTCCCACCTCCTTCTCCTTCCCAGTGCTGGAGAGGAAGATCTCCATGCGTCAGAGCCGCGAGGAGCTGATCCGCAGGGGCGTGCTGATTCCGGACCAAGGTGAGCCGTGCCGTGCCGTGCCGAGGTTCCCCAGCAGGGAGGTGACATGCCACGGCAAAGGATGCCCCCCGTGAAGGGGGTTCTCAAGGTCCACAGGAGGGCTTTTGGTGTCCTGAGAGCACCTTCCTTACTGGCGGGTTGCTTGTGCGTAGCGTTTCGGTGAGTTTTGGTGTTGCCCACCAACACTCGAACCCCCTCCTTTCCAGATGAGCAGGTGAACTGTGAAACGTCCAATGGGCACATGGCCCCTGTCACTGTGGAGACGGCCCCCCCAGAGGAGGCAGCCCCAGACTCCGCGGCAGAGAAGGCAGGGTCACCTGCACCCTGTGAGGAGGACGACAGAACGGGTAAGGGGCGGCTCCGTTCAAGCAAAGCGGCGGTCTGCTTGATGGTTGTGGTCTGCGATCCGTCTGGGATGTCCTCGGACGATCTCAGCGGCTCCGTCTGCGGCAGGTTGCTGAGGGCCGCGTGTTTTCGGGGCTCCTCAATCTCGTTTGCTGTTTGACTCGTCCTGAAGCTCCGTTCCCGCCGGCACCTGTGAAGGGGCCTCTGTGTGCCTCAGCGGGTTCGGGCCCCTGTACCTGTGACAGGAAGGTTCAAATCCCTGAGTCATTTGAGCCCTTAGCCCCGAAGCGCTTCAGGGGCTGGCTGACCCTGACGTATGTTGTTTTGCATGAAAACATCTGCTAAGCGAATGGCCAATTCTCCACATTTCTGGTCCCAGTAGAGCTTCCAACAGCTAATCTGTTCAGCATATGAAATAGGGGCCCTGGCGTTTCCCCTGCGTTTGTCTGCTGTTTCTAGCAGGTTCCTGCTGTTTCTGGCGGGTTCCTGGTGTTTCTGCCGGGTTCCTGCTGTTTCTGGCGGGTTCCTGGTGTTTCTGCCGGGTTCCTGCTGTTTCTGGCGGGTTCCTGCTGTTTCTGGCGGGTTCCTGCTGTTTCTGGCGGGTTCCTGCTGTTTCTGGCGGGTTCCTGGTGTATGCAGAGGCCTTATGCCCCACCTCTGCAGGCTCCTGTGCCGGTCACCCGCGGGGGAATTGACTGACAGAAAAGCCCCCAAAAGACCCGCCCCCAAACACCCCTGGATTTGACATCCGCAGCCTGAACAGGCTCCAGCGAGCAGAGGGCCAGGCGGCCAGGCGTTCCCCCGAAAGCAGAAACGGCTCCTCTGCCGTCCTTCCGACTGCTGGAGTTCTTTCCCAATCCGAGCAGAATTACCAAAGTCATCTCACTTCTCTCGTACAGCTTTTTGATCTGCAGACGCTGGCTGGACATGAACATGTTTGAGGGAACTGGCTGCCCCACACACACATACAGACACGTACACAGGCACACACACGGTACACATACAAACACACACATATGTGTCTTCCCTGCTCTGTCGGGATTTTCCATCAGTAAATTTAAATATAGTTAGTGACTCTAATGGATTCCCGCCCCCCGCCTCCCGCCCCCATGGGTGACCAACATGTCATCCTTTCCTGCAATTAACAAGCCTGTTATTTTGCTTAGGACCACCCCTAATTCATAACTCGATCATTTATCATTAAAATCTCGTTAGCTAAGCGTAGGTCTCACCCCAGACATCAGCCGTATTCCTGTGTCCGCCCTGAGAATTTAATCCTAGTGGAAATGCAAGTTCAGGTCATGGCCGGGGTGGGGATACGGAGTCAGCAGGGGGTGCTGTGGCGTAGGGGCTGTCAAATTCTCGCTCTGCACCATCCTTGCCTGGGAAAACAGGCGTCTTCTCCTTTCCGTTGGCTGATCTGTCCACCCCCCCTTCCCTGTGCCCACATAGAGAGGAAACAGGGCAAGCCCGACCCAAAGGTGGCCCAGTGCCGGTCCCGGGATGGGCTTGCTAAAAAGGGCCAGGCAGCCCCCCCGAAAGCGCCCAGCGGGGCAGCAGGCGGGGTGGCGAGGAAGGACGCGGCCTGTGGAGATAAAAAGGGGGGCAAGAGTGGGGGCAAACAGACCCCGACTCCTAAGGGCAACCCGCGGAACAGTAACCGCGGCAACGGTGAGTATGGGAGGCGGCCTCTGCGAGGGCTGGCCTGCTTGCATGGTGATTGGATCCACTTCTGCCCCCGCCCCCCCCCTTCCCTCCCCCCCCCCCCACCTTCATGATGGGCCATCGCTGAGTTCTGGATTCTGGACCTGGTCCTTGTGGGGTTCTGGGGGCTCGCGTCTTTGCACGTCTGAGATGGCTGCCAAAGTGGGGGGGGGGGTTCCTTCAAGAAAGGGGGAAGTGAGCAGCATAGTGCTTTCTGTCCGCTGTGTGTGCAGCGGCCACTTCTCCATTTCGGCGGATCGGCACGGAAACCAAACCCTCCCTTCTGTTTTTCTCAAGCCGCCTGTTTCTGTGTTCTGTGTCACTGAACCGTGTCTGTGGGCACGCATGACTCCCACACGCATGTGTCTCTTCTCACACGGAGGATCACGTACTGCCCTGTTACCCGTGACGTCTTCACTGCCTCTTGTGCACTGCGGCCTTGTGCAGGTGAATCCGCATGTGTGCTGTGACGGCGCGTGTTCTGTGGGTCCATCACTGCATGGTTCGCCATCAAGTAGCTTGGACTGTCGGGACGTTAAGCTCGTTTGACGACCGGAGCTGCTGTCCACGTTCCTGTTAAAATGCGTGCGCATGGTGCAGATGTTGTTTCTTAAATAATTCGCCTGATTAGTCTAGATTGTATAGAGCAGTGATTGCCTCTAACAGAAATTGTTTGTTTTCACCCCCTCTTAGCCAAACCCACCCAAGCAAAGAAATCAGCAGGGGCGTCAAAGGGCCCCCCCCAGTCAGGACCGGTATCTGGCCCCTCTGGGGGGGCACACCGGCAGCCAAAAGACACTGACGGCACAGGTCTTAGGAAGAAGGGCGGCAGGAGGGCAGAGGACCCCTCAGGTACCACAAAGACCCCCGCCAGAGCCAAGGCCGTTCCCGGGGACGATGGAGCAGCCAATCAAAAGCCACGTCCGGCTGCGGGGGAGGAGCCAGCCAAAGAGGGGCAATCAGCGCAAGCGGGCAGCAAGGTGAACCAGGACGTGGAGGATGCAGCATCTGTCACGGACTCCCAGAATGAGAAGTTCTACAACTGCCTAGAGGAGCAACCAGGCCCAGATGAAGATGGGGGCGTGGCCAGCGAGTCCAGCAAGACGCACCCAGTCCCAGAGGGGGCCCATCCGTAAGTCTGATAACCTGACTGGCGTCCTGGGGTCCGAGGAGAAGCTGTTCATCAGGAAGGCAGCTTCAGCGCCATCCAGAGACTCATCAGGGTTCCTGCAGGTTGCCTGCAGGGAGAGTGGTTAGGGACACGTTCGGGGAAAAGGTCGTTTCACACAGAGGAGCAGAACAGTGACTTCACGGGGCCATATTGTGCACGTACACATTTATTAGTGAATAATTAAACATCTACAATCATTCCTTATCCTTATTTTATCATTATTATTTTATTTCACTCATGACTAGCAGCAGTGGGGTAATGAGCTGGGTAGCGGTGGAGACACGACGAGGCCTCGGACAGTGCAGGGTCACACATGGGGCATAGGGGGCGCTGTTTGGCCCATTTAAAACTGGCTCCGGTGCATGAATATGACCAATAAAATGTGCAACATTTTAAATGGCAAAATCTAAATTGATTGGGTGTCAAAGAATGTTCATTGGCATGTTTGCAGTTCATTTCAGAGAATCTGAAACCCTAAACCATCAGCTCCCCGCTGCTTGATTGTTGCTACCCCTCATACCCCCTGCCATTGCTGGGGGGGCATGCATTTGACAACAAATCCACAGCCTCCTCCCCCCCCCCCCCCCCCCCCCCCCCCCCCCCCCCCCCCCCCCCCCCACCCAGCCCAGCCCCACCTGCTTTGGACAAGCAGATGTGACACAGGCTGTTCTGTGTCTTCCAGGCCAGCAGGGGGCGACGTGAAGCTCCAGGCCCGTATCACGGACGCCCCACCAGAGACCATCCCCAGCGACAGCAGGGAGAGCCAGATCAGCGACTCGGATTCGGACAGGTCCACACTGTACCGCAGTGAGGAGGACGAGGAGGAAGAGGATGACGAGGATGAGCACAGCTCAAGTAGGCTGCTCCCTGAGCCCGGGGGAGTGCGGCATTGTGGGGGGGGGGCGCTCGCTCTCTTTTCCCTCGCTCTCAGTGTTAAATGTCCGATACTCTGACTGATTGTCCATGCCCCGTCTGTGCCCCGTCTGTGCCCCGTCTGTGCCCCGTCTGTGCCCCTGTACCCCGGCCATGACCTGACCTTGCCTTTCCACTAGAACCGTGTTGGTGTCAGAGCCCGATATGATACACATGTCAGTGAAGCGTGATGCTTCTGTGCTGTATGTCTTTGTGTCGTTAAAGCATAGTTAGCACGGCTGTCTTAAGAGTCCTACGCCCTCCCCACGTGTGAAGGTCCAGCCCCCCTGCTTCTGAGCGTTCCTCCCCCTCCTGTCCTGAGGGTCCCGCCCCATACTGTCCTGAGGGTCCTGCCCCCTGTGCCTCTGAGAGCCCTGCCCCTCTCTGCCTCTAAGAGCCCCGCCCCCTCCTGTACTGAGGGTCCCGCCCCTCTCTGCCTCTGAGAGCCCCGCCCCCTCCTATCTTGAGGGTCCCGCCCCTCTCTGCCTCTGAGAGCCCCGCCCCCTCCTATCCTGAGGGTCCTGCCCCTCTCTGCCTCTGAGAGCCCCGCCCCTCTCTGCCTCTGAGAGCCCCACCCCTATATCAGCATCCCCTCTCTTCCTCACTCAGGCTCCCTGGCCAGTAAGATCCGCCGCCGGGACACGCTGGCCATCAAGCTGGGAAACCGGCCCAGCAAGCGGGAGCTGGAAGAGAAGAACATCCTCCCTCGCACGTCGATGAGCGAGCGGCAGGAGCTGAGGCAGCAGATCGGCTGCAAGTTGGTCAGGTAGGGGGGTGGCCGGCGGGGGGGACTCATTAAGCAGTGCGGGAACACCCCACTCTCCTCCTGCTGTCTCCACTGTCTGAGAATGTGCTCCTGAATGTCTAGTGTGCAGCTCTGTCCCAAACACAGCCATAGGAGGTTGGGGGGGGGGGGCGAATTTTTGAGATCTTCAGAGTTAGCGGCACCTCAAACTGGTGCTGATCAGAATTTTTGCCACCAGTATTAGTCCTGGCCTTTTCCAGTTTTATTTTTAACTGAAATGTGAGTCACGCTCTCGCCGATCATCCCGCAGGCGCCTGAGTCAGAGGCCGACGACGGAGGAGCTGGAGCAGAGAAACATCCTGAAACGTAAGGAGCTGCACACGCACACGGGGGCACGGACACAGCCCCCGTCCCAGAGATGGGAAACTCCCCTTTGATAGAACAATAAGTCTGATGTGTCATTACCGTGGTCGAGAAGCGAGATGAACCTTCTGGAGAAACTTTAGCTCAACGTTCTCCTGAGAACCTGCTGAAGGCCCAAGGACAAGTCTCTCAGCGCCCGGCAGGGCGATGGCCGCCTCGCCCCCGTGGGTTCAGCTCTGCTTGGAGATTTAGCTCGATGCTCAGTCTCTGTGCTGTAGAGGGACCCTGCTTTGGTGGTTGAAGGTGAAGTGATAAGCAGGAATGGAGGCCACCTTCATTAAGGCAGAAGATGGGACAGGTCAGGTTTTACAGGTCACATGGACCTCTGCAGTCAGCGCTGAGCTTTCCCAGCAAAAGGGTCCTGAGGAGACGGGTGCCCTGGGATGTGCCTGCAGGCCCCGATTGGGACGAAGGCGCTGCAAGCGGCCGGTGACAGAGAGCAGCATTTGGCTCTGAGGGAACTTTCATGGGCTTCAGTGTTTACAGAGGAGCCGCTTTTCATGAGGTGTTTACACGGACGTTTGTAGCCGGATGTTTTGAAAAGGTGTTAATGAGCTTTTAAAGCCATCGAATGACAAGCGATTTATCTGCCCCCGTTTTACCATCTGGTTCTGGAAAAGCACACAAGCTTCCTGCCCCCCCCCGCCCCCTCCACTCTCACTGATCAGCTCGTGTTGCTGCTTTGATGTCGGTGAGAGAAGCGTGTGGGTGGAGGGCGTGGCCGATCTCTGAAAGATGGCCCATTCTCAGCATCTGGGCGCTGGGTGCGTTACGGGGGGAGGAAAGCAGAAGCCACAAGTGGGGGCGTGTGGAATTTTATAAGAGCACACGTCTGCCTCCCTCCTCATGGCACACGCACGCGCACGCGAGGTGCCGTGAACGAGCACGGCTTCATAGATCAGAAACGATGAAACTGCCCAGGTTTAGCCCGAATAGACAATGCACATCAGCCCAGGAAGCGTTCATGCACAGGGTGCCTGAATTGGCTCTGATCCACACACAAAAAACAGCTTAATCACATCGAATGGAAATGTGTTATGGAAATGCCATCTGTGGGTCTATTACTTAAAGATGAACTATTAAAGAACTATTGTTCTTGCTTACAGGTGGTATTGAATTTACTTTTCTTTATTATAGAGAAAAATGAAGAAGAAGAGCAAGAGGCAAAACAAGAAATAAAAAGACGACTTTCTCGAAAGGTACAAACATGAATTTGTTTCCGGCAGAAAGTCTATTTCCGTACCTGATTAGGTCATCTTCAGCAATGATGTTTTACACAATGATGAATTACATGTACAATGGCACCATCTGCTGGTCACAGTGGGAACTTTAGGAGAGTCTTTTTTCTGTGTCATGTCCCCAGTGTTGTCCTCTGTGCTTTGGGGGGGGGTTGAATGCTCTTTGGCTCCGCTTCACATTGCCAACTCTCTGCAGCTGAGCGTGAGACCCACAGTGGCTGAACTGGTAGCTCGGAGAATCCTGCGCTTCAATGAATACGTGGAAGTCACAGACGCCAAGGACTACGACCGCCGAGCGGACAAACCGTGGACTAGGCTGACTCCGGCTGACAAAGTAGGTCATGGACTACAGTACCCATAAATCCTGCTTTTAGTAGCACAATGTAATGAGTTTAACCTTCTCATTAAAACATTTCAAATATATGTGTGGAGCAGCGTGCTAATCTGTGGCATAGGGGTCTGTACCCACGTCCAGAAGGGTGTGACTTTGAATCCCATAGTAATCAAATCACTGTTGGGCTCAAGGACTAAGCCTTAACCTCAACTGCTCTAGGGACATTCCTCAATTGTACGTCACTTTGGACAAAAGTTTATCATAAGTGTAAACATACTATCTTGTAAGTGTGCCGACCTAGACTGCTTTCATGTAAATCCTTTTATTTGCATCTCTCAGGCTGCTATCCGCAAAGAGCTGAACGAGTTCAAAAGCAAAGAGATGGAGGTACACGAGGACAGCAAGCATTTCACAAGGTAACCGCTGTTTGACCAATGAAGAGAAGATTGTAAAAAATCATTCAGTGTTTCATGTGACCTGGATACATGCATGTGATTGGTCAGGATCCTAACTTGCTGTTTCATTGGCAGGTTTCACCGGCCCTGACATTTGCGCTGCCCTGGGTGGCTGGGAATCCCTCTGCATGTCCCCTTTATACAGTGTTTCTACCCCTGCCACCTGGTGGCTGGGAGGGGCCCTGCACCCCAGGGACCTCCTTACAGATGGACTGACCACACTCCGCTGTGGACTCTGCTTTCAGTTCACCTGGTTAGAGGGTACCACTCCGACTCCAATGGCCGGAACTGGAGCCTTAAGTATGGGATGGACAGGATCGTATTCGGTGTTCAGTGTTCAGTGAAGGCAGGCAGACAGACAGACAAACGCCTGCAGGCTGAACACACTGGCGCTGCCAGCGCTGGACTGGAATGCTGCTCGCTTCAGAACACACTCGTGCTGCCGGTCCTTTCACGTTCTGCACTGCGATGACGTCCAGCGTAACACTAGACACCGATGACTATCAGACCTTGTTCACAAACAAACGGCCACAAATGGATTTCAGCGCTGCTGCTTTGGATGGCATTCAGGTTTAGATATTGAGGGTTCTAAGAGGGGGGGGTGCCCTGTTGAGAAAAATATACCATGGCAGCCCACTTATAAACACTTAGATTGACACAGATCCCAGGACACACCCATGGTTTGGGGAGATAGATTCTCTACCTTCCCTTTGGCTTATTGTGGTGGTACAGTCACATGACCGGAATGTATCTTAAATTGAGATTGAAACTGGATTTGCTCAGTGCCTCAGAAAATGAGTATTTATTTAGTACGATATCTGTAGGATTTTATAAGGTCACAGTACAGCACCTGTGATGTCTAGCTTGCAAGTACTGAATACCAGTTCCACTTCATCTATTTACAGAAACCATTTGAGATCTCGGAGTTCCTATGCAGAGTCTGTGTTGTGATTTGTTTTCGATGGGGGGTTGGGGGGTGCAGTGCACAGTCTAGTCTTAAGGAGTAACGTGAACGAGGGCTATCAGACTCTCGAGATCAATGCGCTCCTCCGACCAGCAGAGGGAAACGTCACGTGCTTTAAGGTGCCTTGACTGGGCAATGTGGGGTTCTGCTGTCTTAATGGTTACCCATAGAGGCCATAAAAGTGTTTTTACATATTTTGGCCACAAGAGAGCCTCTGTATTCCTGTCAATCAAACTTCTGCATTCGAATGTGCTATTTTTAATCCTGCTATAAATTGTATAAGTTATTCTTATCAGATATAGAACTTCCTGTACAGTATGTATATAAACGACACGTTTTTTTTTTAATATATATATACGTTGATTGTTTTACATGATGTCCTTTGTTTTAAGATCGTTTATCGTTTTTAAAGCCCCCCCCCCCCCATAAGTGTGTCCTCTGCTACACGCTGTGCACCGCTCAGGAGCGCCTCCTATCTTCGCCCGCAGCCCGGTTCAGATTCTGGAAATTCAGGCACTGGTTGAACAGGCATTTCTTGACAGCCATTTCCTCCACTACAACTGAACTTTTTACCCATAAATCCCACTGAGTCAGAAGTGACTATCAGACTATTGGGGCTTAAAGTGCACAACTGAACTGCAAAGTGCAGTGTGTCCACCACTGTGGAGCGGAAATGTGATTTCGAGGCGGTGAATTGCCGTGACTCCTGTTATCAGGGTGACCGGAAGGTGGTGCTGGATCTTCCCAACATCATTGCCTGTGTTTGTGAGATTTACTTGCAGTTTAAGGAAGGTGAAATGAGCACTTGGAGGACAACTCTGCTTAAATAGAGGTTCCTGCTGTTTAGGATTTGGTGTATTATGGGGGATTTTCACCATCGCACCCTCGCAGTGAACTCGCAGGTGTGGGTCTGATCTTTGACGCTTATGTTCCGCTGTCACCATGGCGACTGTGAAGCGTGTTTACCGCCAGCCATCCTGCCGTGGCGGAGCTTTCTGTCACCAAGCTGGGCCCCGCCGGAGCGAACCTGGGGAACAGCCCTGCCAGTTGCGTCCGGGTTCTGCTTCCTGGATTTTGGCGGATGGGAAACCTAACGACAAGGTGCTTTTGTGGGCAGGGTGGGGCAGTTCTTTGGAAATCAGTATGAATTGCACGACTATAGATAATTAAAGCTTCCTAATCGTGTTTTAAATGATGACTGGTGTGTCTGTCTCATTACCACCCTCTGCCTTCCATTACTGATGCTGAACCCTTTCTGTCACTCTGTCATTAAGATTCCATTTCCTGTTTCAAAAGGAAGTTAAATTCTGGCTAAATTTAAAATACACAGTATAACACACAGGCCCCTGTCCCGAGTATAATTCTTTTTAATGCGTTTGCTGTTCAGGTTGTATCTTTTAAAGCTAATATGATTAGAATACCTCTCACCTCCTGCTTTTGCTTTCATCTAATCCATAATAGCCACAGGCTAATGGCATAAGTCCTGTTGATCCACCTTTATATCCAAATACACTTATTAGTTAGTATCAAGTTCTAACCTGTGCGTACCAGTGTTTGCGTTTCCCTTGAAAAAAAAAATTATTGTAAAGAAGTGGGACTGGGTTTTCTCTAGATAGTCCAGTTTCCCAGTCCAAAAACATGCTGAGGTTAACTGGAGTTTCCAAATTGCCCGTTGGTGTGAGTGACTGGTGTGTGTGTGTGTGTGTGTGAGTGTATGAGTGACTGGTGTGTGTCTGTGTGAGTGTATGAGTGACTGGTGTGTGTGTGTGAGTGTATGAGTGACTGGTGTGTGTGTGTGAGTGTATGAGTGACTGGTGTGTGTGAGTGTATGAGTGACTGGTGTGTGTGTGTGAGTGTATGAGTGACTGGTGTGTGTGTGTGAGTGTATGAGTGTATTACATGAGTCGCCCATGGACCTGTTCTAAAAATAGCACAACTCACCAGTGAGCAGCGTCTAATTTAATTTTATCCTGTTGCTATTCTTCTTTAATCACATTTGCATCTATATAGATTTGAAAATGACAATATCTAAAAAAAGCATTTAAAACGTTTATTATACATGAAGTTTAGATAAGTTTAGGAGGTCGTTTCAAACTGGTAGCCTTTTGTATGGCTCAGTACCTGTGAAGTAGCTCTCAGTTTCAAAAAGACAGGTGATCCCTGCCCTAGAGGTTAAACGCTCAAATTATCAGGGGCTCAACTATTAAATCAGGCTGCTGAGCCATGGATCGAAACTGGCGACTATCTGGCCACAAACACAGAGTATTAACCTGTGAGCCACTCACAGCTCTCAAAACCGACCACGAAGGGACTCGAACCCTCAATCTTCTGATCCGAAGTCAGACGCCTTATCCATTAGGCCACGCGGTCCTACACAAATCACTCATCTAGGTTAACACCTAAATCACTAATATGTGTCTTTCAAAAGTTAGCTCAAATTATGGACTAACATGCCACAGTATCAATACCACGATCGCTAATTGTGAGTAATAATACATGAATCTGTTTCATACGTCCATCATTAAACTGCATCCAATCGAAGGTCATAAAAACGAATTATGGATTAAAGAGTACAGGCTCGTTTTAGTCAAGAAATAATCAGCGCTTTAAACGGTAATTGGCTGGTTCTAGTCCTCTTGTGTCGTGTGGGCCAATGAGAGATGAGTTCGCTGCCGCCTCCTCTGGTCTCTACAAGCCCGATCTGATGGAACGAACCAACTGCATAGGGGTGCATTCAATAAATATCTGCATTTTTCGGATACATGTGTTGTCGCCTTTTTGCGAGACACGGACGAATATATTTTAATTGCTATCTATATTAAATTTGCTTTTTAAAAACTCATTTTGTAATGTTGTTTTTCAAATACTATTTATCCTCCTTGTGTGCTGCCAGACCGTCTTTCCTGTCATGGCGGTGGTGACAAATAACACGTGAAGATTTTACGTCGCCGAAAACATTTTTACTTTTCTTTTGTGTGTGCTGACGAATGAAATTGTGGAACCAAGTGTAAAATACTAACTCTGTATTTATTTGAAATCACTTGGAATCAGCTGGAATCCGAACATGGTAAGTGTTGTTTTTGTACACCGGAGCGGTAAATGCACCGTGATCTCACGTATACTTACAGAAACGGAATCACTCGCATTATGCGGGATATAGTCTGTATAAACATTTACATGGACACTTATACTTCACGTAGATCGGTGTAGGGTTAGACAGAACGAGTTAACCGTGGTCTATTCATTTGAACTTTATTGTTTTAATAATTATTTCATGTTGTCAATGCTGATCGATAAATAACTAGAGTGTATTTTTTTTAACAGTTTAACACCCGGATTGGTACTAATGTATCAATGCTGCAGTGCGTTTCTTAATGTCGTCCACTTGTTTACTTGTGTTGCCATGTCTTAGCCGCACAGAAAGAGGAAGGCTTTTATTGATAAGAAGAAGGCTGTGACATTTCACCTGGTGCACAGAAGCCAGCGGGACCCCTTGGCGGCTGACGAGACCGCTCCTCAGCGTGTGTTACTGCCAGCCAGCAAGGTAAGGCTGCCAATCATCCATCCATCCATCCATCCAGTCTCAGGTACCCTGTACTCCTGGGATAGACTCTAGGCTCTCAGTTACCAAATACTGGATAAGCAGTTATATAACATTAGTGGATAATAGATTTGTTAATAAGCACACCTTTTTACTCCAGGCTGAGGTTGAGAAGAGGCAGGAGGAGCAGAGGCAGTTTGGGGTGTTCTTCGACGATGACTATAACTACCTGCAGCACCTCAAAGAGCCCTCCTGTCCCGGAGAGCTGGTGGTGTCAAGCGATCATCAGCGGGACCCTAAACTCATCATCACAGAGGACGGGCGCGTCAGGGAGGAAGCCCCAGCTCTCCCTGTAAGGCCACGCAGATCTGGACATACTCTCTTCACCTTGACTGACCTGGTGTGGTGGACGATAGCTTTCAAGATCATGTTGTATATGTTTAAAATGTATAAATATTTTGATGGAATACTGTAGAGTAAATATTGTTATAGAATAGGTAATGTTAGCTGCATTTTAGTGTGCTTTCCTGATAGAAAGCTGGGAAATTCACCTAGAGTGAGTTTTTCTTTTCTAATGGTGGTTTCGTTCAACAGGCTGTCTCCATCAATCTGCCGTCCTCTGTGTTTGCCTCTGAGTTTGAAGAGGAGGTGGGATTGTTGAACAAAGCAGCCCCTGTCTCAGGTGAGACCCCAGGTGTAGCGCCATCCTCTGGTGACAGTGAAGTGAAATGTCACGAGCTGTTAATTGTCACTGGGTGACACCAGGAACTCCACAGTGTGCTGGTGTCTTATTCTTTAGTCTTTATATGTTTGCTATTCCAGCTAAAATGGGTATTTGGTGGAGTTTTGGACTAATTTCACCACAGTCTGAGCAGAACATAGCAGCTGTATCCTCTTAAACTTATTTGAGTGACTGTTAATAGCAGGTGATGCAGTTCTGTCAGTCTCACACTGATGCAGTACAGAGTCATTCCTGCATGTTCTTATTTTATTACATATGGTATTTAATTAAAAGGTTAATATTTAATTTAGTAGACACCTTTTGGATATAGTGGTTTATGCTTCTGAGAGAAGTCAGTAAATTCCTCTTCTTATGTATTGAAAGTGCGAGTATGAATTGGGTGGTTCACTTATGAGAATCACTGAGGCTGGATGGGGCATAATTAAGGTTTTACTGTCCTTATTGGGGGGCGGGGTGGGGGGGCGTTGTATATCATTGCAGCAGCTAATTCTAGTCAGCCTGGGAGGATTTACATTTTTCATTAAGCACATTTCACAAATGACATTTTCCTTTCCAATAGAATATCTAAAAAGTTAAAAAAAAAATTAAGCAGTTTCAGACGTAGGGCATTACCTTTGATATAACTTATAAGTGCATATTCCTCTTCCTGCTGACTGGTTTGACTGTGAGGTAATCTCTGGCCCCACCCCCCAGCTCTTTTCTGATTGGCTCCCATCTGGTTGCATCTCCAGGGCCACGGCTAGATATGGATCCTGACATCGTGGCCGCGATGGACGAGGACTTTGACTTTGAAGACCCTGAAAACCAGCTAGAGGATGACTTCGTTGTCCGGGCCAATGACGATGCAGCGTGTGTATTTCAGCCCAAAACCCCTCTACCAGTCACTGGCTGTCACTCTGAGGTGCTTAAATGGCGCCTGCCATCCTTCCAGTCTGATGTCGGTGTGACAGTAGTGTCCCCTCCCACTGTTTTTGCAGCTGTGGCGATGATGATGATGAGTGGGAAGATACGGATGATGAAGAGCAGGAGGAAGAGTACGGTTCGGATGGGCCCCTCTCAGAGGACGGGGACCTGCACCCCCGGGAGCTACTCTTCATGGATGAGGAGACGAAGAGCCGCTTCACTGAATACTCCATCACGTCATCTGTCATGCGGCGCAACCAGCAGCTCACCCTGCTGGATGATCGCTTCGAGAAGGTGAGTTTCCTTGTTGCCACTCTGACTTCCTCAGTCACCGCTTTGGCTGCTCTGACTCGGCCACTTTGACTCAGCCAGTCGCAACTTTAGCCACTCAGACTCGCTCGGTCGCTGCTCTGGCCGCTCTGTCTCGACCACTCTGGCCTCTCTCACTAGGCCAGTCACTGCTCTGGCCGCTCTGACTCGACCGCTCTCTCACTAGGCCAGTCGCTGCTCTGGCCGCTCTGACTCGACCGCTCTCTCACTAGGCCAGTCGCTGNTCTGACTCGACCGCTCTCTCACTAGGCCAGTCGCTGCTCTGGCCGCTCTGACTCGACCGCTCTCTCACTAGGCCAGTCGCTGCTCTGGCCGCTCTCACTAGGCCCGTCGCTGCTCTGGCCGCTCTCACTAGGCCCGTCGCTGCTCTGGCCGCTCTCACTAGGCCCCTGGCTGCTCTGACTCGCTCGGTCGCCGCACTGACTTGTTCGGTCTCCGCTCTGGGTGCTGTGACTCGGCCTCTCTGGCTGCTCTGGCTTGTTCAGTCATCACTCTGGCTGCTCTGATGCCACAGAAGTCAGATTTTTTTATTTTAAAACCCCAGATTTTAAATGTGCAGCTTTGATGCGTAAAATGTCATTGTCAGCGGAGAGCGCTGTCACCGTCAGCTCGGAGGTCCGCTGTCCCCCTCTGAACTGGCCGGCCATTTCTCTGCATGCCGCTGACTTAAATTTTTCTC